TGTTCATTTTTGTTCCCTAGAGTACGACGGTGTTACTCCCCTCCAATGTCTCTAACCCAGCCAATATGATGGCTCAAGCCCTCTCCATATACAAGAACATGATTGGTAAAAGCCCAATCAATGGCCCATCCAAGATCTCTCAACTGGACCATGTGAGAAGTAATGATTCATCTTGGGAATCTATCTACAAAACCTCCTCGGCCTCAGAACCTGCTGATCAGGATAATGTAGGCGAGCCCGTTTTTTCTCTGCAAAGCCCCAAGGATAATAAATGAAAAGGCACGTGTATAACGATGAAAAAGAAAAGGTGATTATAAATTGTTTTTCTGTGGTGCCCTTTTTTTCAGTAACTTTTGAGGGTTCTGTGAACGCTACAGTTTGCTTCGAGAGAGCATAAAGGAAGTGACGAGAAAAGCAGACTTGTGCTGCGTAGTCCATTCTTCATCTTCTTCTCTCTATTTGGTGCCTAATTTGACCTTTATAGAATTCTAAAATTTGTAGAATCCATAATAAATAAACCCGGTGGGGTGACCTATTAACACTCCTTGAAGAACTTCTTAACAAAATATGCGAAATTTTAATCACCATCTCACACTTTAACCCCTGAAAAAATAAATTAACTATGAACATTAAATTAAAATATTTGGAAAAATAATTAATAAAAAACTAAGAAAGTCAACTTTGTTGATCACTAGTGTTAGGTCAATCTTGCTAAGTTCATGGGACCAAAGCTATAACAATCCTTGTACCACATTACATAAACAAAATTCCAACTTCCTTCCATGGGACCAAAGCTATCACAATCCGTGCACCACTTTACAGTAACCAAATTCCAATTTCCTTTCCCAAAACATCTAACGTAGAATATTCAAGATTGTGATGTAGAAATCAAACTCCAGACGTTTCTCACAATGGATTAGATCTGACTTCACCATCTCCACACACTTCAATAACCTTGTTTTCATGCATAACATTATGGAAAATGCTCATCTACATATCATGGATATAATATGTCCACCAAAGGTCTCGTGATCTTTGAACTTATTTATGATATGTTAATCTCCTACCAACATATTCATGTAGTATGTTAATTTTCTGTCACATCAACTAGTGAACATATTAATTCGTACTCACCGGTGGATATCAAATGCAACCGTTTCTTTCATTATATACTAACTTCAAATATAGTAATAAACAAAATAAACTTTGCAACTCAATTCGATTTCCATGTGAGTCGAAAGAAAAAAAGAAAGGAAAAAAAAGAACTAATGGGTTCCCAGCAAGATGAGGAAACAGCGCCAAAACCACTCGAAATCCCCAAAAAGCCCTCCATTTCCCGCCACAATTCCCCTTTAGTCCAGGTCATTCTCATCGGGCTTGTCTGCTTCTGCTGCCCGGGGATGTACAGCGCCCTTGTCGGCATGGGCGGCGGCGGCCAGGTCGACCCCACCGCCGCCAACAACGCCAACACCGCCCTCTACGCCGCCTTCGCGGTTTTCGGCGTCCTCGGCGGCGGAATCTACAACATCCTCGGCCCCCGCCTCACCTTGCTCTGTGCCTGCCCGACCTACCCTCTGTACGCCGCCTCCTTCCTCTACTACAACCACCGCCACCGCCAGGAATTCTCCATCGTCGCCGGAGCCCTCCTCGGCGTCGGCGCCGGCCTCCTGTGGGCCTCCCAAGGCGCAATCATGACGTCGTACCCTTCCCGAGGTAAAAAGGGCATCCACATATCAATATTCTGGAGTATTTTCACCATGGGCGGCGTAATCGGTGGTTTGATTCCGTTCACACTGAATTTTCATAGAAACGAGGCTCTTTCCGTGAATGACGGTACGTATATCGCTTTCGTGGTGTTCATGTCGATCGGGACATTGCTGTCCCTATCCATTTTGCACCCGGGTCGGGTCGTCCGGGATGACGGGTCCCACTGCACGAAAATCGAGTACTCGAGCGTGCGGGTCGAGGCCCGCGAAATCCTGAAGCTGTTTCTCGACTGGAAGATGCTGCTGATGGTGCCGGCCTTTTGGGCGAGTAATTTCTTCTACAGCTATCAGTTTACCAATGTGAACGGCGTTTTGTTTAACCTCAGGACAAGGGGTTTGAACAACGTGCTGTATTGGGGTGCGCAGATGATTGGGTCTGTGTGTATCGGTTTTGTGATGGATTTTAGTTTCAGAAGCAGGCGGGCCCGCGGGCTGTTTGGTGTTGGGCTTGTGGCCGTACTTGGGACGGCTGTTTGGGGTGGTGGGCTTGTGGAGCAGCTTAACTATAGCCGTGTTGAATTGCCAGACCGGAGGCTCGATTTTATGGATGGCGGCAGTTTTGCGGGCCCGTTTGTGCTCTACTTTAGTTATGGGCTGCTCGATTCAATGTTTCAGAGCATGGTGTATTGGGTGGTTGGTGCATTAGCTGATGATACCGAGATTCTTAGCAGGTAGAATTGTGATTCACACTTTTTGGTGATGATTATGTAAAACAATCCTTTTTAGGTTCAGCCGATTAGAAAAAAATTCAATTTCTCTTGCATAACTACAAAATTTCTCTTAACACGATGCTACAAAAATACTAGATCTGGGCTGAGCTGGGTTGGTCGATACAGCAGGATTTTAGTTGTTTTATCAAGTGCGATTCGGTTTTGGACTCCAAAATTGGCAGCCAAAGATATTTCTGCTCGGCTCGTTTGGCACTCTTGAGTGCCTTCTCCAGTCAGGTTGTGCAGCTTGTAAAACAGAAATATGAATGTGAATATATGGGGTGGGTTCATAGTTTTGACAGATGAATGTGACTTAATTTCTGAGTAGTTTTTTGTATTCAGTTCTTGATATAGTTGACTGGTTTTATTTGTCCTGTTTTTAGGTCTCGTCTAATCTGTTGTTTCAATCTTGTGTTTTTTAGGTACAACGGGTTGTTTAAGGGAGTGCAGAGTGCTGGAGCTGCTGTTTCTTGGCAAGTAGACACGCAGAAAGTACCATTTCTAAACCAACTCATAACTAATTGGGCTCTCATGACGGTAAGTTATCCTTTGTTGGCTTTGCTGATCATACTAGCTGTTAAAGATGATGAAATTGAAGAGAATTCTAAGGAAGGTGGTAAGATCCAAGGAACCCATTGATACTAGTGTACGTCAAGTTAGACTCTTCAAAGGAAAAGTTTTCAGTCGAGAAATTTTAGCATAATAGCTACTATGAACTCCATTTATCCGCACTAATATCTGCATTACTTTTAACAAATGTTGAATTATAAGGAATTTGTCTTGATTAATACTCCATGAGAGAAGTATTGCTTTTTTTAAAATAATGTAGTATGGTTAGCTGTTAGTGAAATTTTAAATTTATATCAAAATAACATTTAAACTAAAATAATGAAATTTGATTGATCTATAAGTAGGAGAGAGATGATGTGAAGTTATAATTAGTTAAAATTATGTGAGTGGATGAATAGTGGATTAAAATTGATGTGATGTGTAAGAATGATTGGTTGATATTATTTAATTATATTGATAATATTGAGGATAGTGGTGTCGGGTTAGAATAGTTGGATTTTGAGTATGAATTGAGTTATTTTATATACATACACACCCTAAGTTGATTCCATCTTCTCTGAAAATCCTCTACTTTTTTCCTTCTTTAATTGCACTCTCAATAGCTAATATGTAGTAAGGCTTGAGAGTTGAGCATACAAGAATGACAGTTGGAGTTTGTAACAAAGCAAAATTGCAGTTTATAGACTCAAGGGGAAAAATCAAAATAAATAAATAAATAAAATTAAATAACAACAGGAAACAAAATCACCTAAGAAACTACTGCTAGAAAATACAGAACATAGTTATTTTGTGGGAAATGAGTACAGTAGTTGTGGTATACGGGCAGAATTTATTCCCTCGATCCCTCAAGCGAATAAATATTAAAACATAGAAATGAACCACTTATTGATAAATAACGAAGAAAAAAAAAAAGTACAAAACATAGAAAAAAACTGCCAAGTTATTAAAAGTTAAGATAAAAACGTCGCATCATTCTTTTCGTCCTCTTGGAACATTAGGTTTAAGCGGCCACCACTTTCTTTTCCTCCTTGGCCTCCTCAACCGGCTTGGCTTCAGCTTCAACCGGCTTGACTTCAGCTTCAACCGGCTTGGCTTCAGCTTCAGCTGGCTTGGCTTCAGCTTCAACGGCTTCATCCTTGGCCTCCTCGACCTTAGCCGGAGCTGGCTCGGACAAGTCTACCAAAGGTGCTTCCTTCTTTTCCTCAGCTACATCTTCCTTTTTCTCCTGCAAATAATAAATTCATTGAAATATGACAGTGTAAATGTTATAAAAACCATCCTGAACACGATACTAAAATATTATTAATTTCAAAATCACGAAATTAAGGTAAATGGGTAAAGAGGTCCTGAACAAAAAAAAAGAGAGAGAAGAGAATCGTGCATGCTAACCTCAACTGTCTCGACTTTGTCGGCCACTGGGGCGTCGGTGACAGCTGGTGCATCGACAGCTGAGGAGGCCTCGACAGGGGCAGGAGCCGCCTTCTCGGTGGTGTCCAATTCCTTGGGTTTGCTCGCGCAGCCTCCCANAAAAAGGGATGATGCGGGAGAAAAACTACTACTGCTTAAATGCTAATGCACTTATTATTTTTCTTCTTCTTTTTTCTGTGTTGTGAGGTGAGGTTGATGATGGGTTTATATAGTGGTCTGGAGTTCTTATTTTCATGGGCAGAGCTTAATTCTCGTGAGCTTATTTTTTGGGGGGGAAAATGGGTGGGAGGGCTAGTTTGTTTTTTCCGAAAATTAGTTATAACCGTTGACAGAGGAACATGAATAGTAAAGAATTTCATGTGCTTATTATTTGGGGGAAAATTGGTGGAGGGCTATTTTTAGTTGTAAGGTTAAAGGGAGTAAGGGATTTCATGTAACTACATTTTGATTTTTTAAAAGTTTAAAATAATGTGGATAAAAAGAGGATATTTTATATGGAAGTACAAACGGATGAAAATGAAATTTGATTTTTGTTTCACTACTTTAGTAAATTCGACAATATAGTGTAGATAAATAGCTGGAGGTTGATTAAGGATATTATTCATAGAATAGGCTGCTAACGAGTCGAGCAACTCACGAGACCTCGGATTGAGTTCAAATTTGACCATGTTCAAGTGGAGCTCGAGTATTTCGAATTCAAAGTCGAGCTCGAGTTCAAACCCTTGACAAATCGCTTTCATTTAGATATTTCTTAAGTGACATGTTGAGTCGAAATCAGGTAAAATTCGAGCCACAATCATTTGTGTTATTTCTGTCGAGTCGAGCCAAGCCTTGAGCAAGACAGGCTCAAGTGAGTGTCGTAAAATCAAGCGTGGTTCGATAAAACCAATGCTTGGTTCAATACATTTGCAGCCTCGCTTATGGTGTATTAAGATGTGTTCACCATTTACGTGTCAATATTTCGTGATATTGCACTCAAAATTTTATGATCTTAGACGTTCTCCAACAGAGTTGGAAAACACAAATTTTGCAGGAGAAATCACTCCAACCGAGTTGCAAAACGGATCGCGAAATCCGTTCTTTCTCTTCTCTCTCTCCTCAGATAAAAGCAAACTTGCGTCTATACGCAAATTTAGCGTTCCAACTTTTTAATTTGCTATTTGGTCCCTTCTCTTTTACGACAAAATGAGTTTAAAAAAATCTTAATTTCTATTTATTCTTTAATCGTAAAATACTAAAAAAACTTAATTTCCTGAAATTAGATAATATATTGTTTAAATTAATAAATATCACATTTATCATTTAACTTTATATTATTTACAATTATATATATATATATTATTTATGATACTTTTATTTTACTTGTAGAAATAATTATGACAAAGACTAAAAAAAATTATAAAAGAAAACACTAACACTAATAACGACAAATTTAGATATAAGATTAAAACATTTCGTGATAGAGCACGCATTAAAAAAAATTAAATAACTAGTTCATCTTCAATTTTATTATGTATACGAATTATAACTTTATAAATTTACTACATAAGTTTCTAATCAAATATAAAATAATAGAATGATTAATTTGTAAACTTGTAAAATATGTGCTTAGTATTGAAAAATTGATATAAAAGAGGATATTCTTTTAAGTTTAAGAATGAATTTTTCGAATGGAGATGGATTAATAGGTTTGAGAATGATTTTTTCAATTGAAGATGGTCTTAACCACGCATATATCACGTATGGTATGTTAATTTTCTACCACATCAGCTAAGCTAGTGCATGTACTAACTCGTGCCCTATAGGACTGACAATTAAAACTCCAAGCCCATCGACTTATTTTAGATATGGAATTAGACTTGGGCAGGACGGCCTATTCTTCTAGATGGCCCAGCCCTATTCCAATAGTGTGATAGGATTATAGGATTAGGCTTTGACCTCGTTCTTCTTTTCAGTTTGATCTCCTCTTTGTGTTGGATTACATTGAATTCAAAAGTTTTCAAACGAATTAGTACAAGTTTGGAAAAGACGTTTTCGCTCTAGCATAGTAGCACTCGTTTTTTCCTTGCAATAATTTCCTCTGACCAAAGATTAATCTTTTTCCAGAAAAAAAAAAAAAAAAGAAGAAGAAAAAGGAAAAAACAACTGGAAAAACACTAGCAGTATGCATGCCCCATGGACATTTTATTGTATTACATTAATCCAAATTCTCAAACAACATTATGAGAGGAAAGAAAAAAACCTATTCAACTTGTGTTGAATCTATAATTCTTTCTTCCTCCAAACTAACACCACTAATCACCCTCTAAACACAACACATATTCTTGTGTGAGATAACCTAACGGTTTACTATGTAAACAAATATGCATACTGATATTAAATGTCATATTTTTGTTAATATTGTTTTCTAAAAGTATGTCATTTTGCAACTAAAAGTAGCCATATTAAAGTATGTCGGCCTAATGGTTAGCCAGCTGTCTGCCTAGCAGAAACTCAAACACCGTAATCATCGTCATCCTCATCATCCTCCCTGGTGCAATTACCTTTCTGCCCCTCCTCCCCCAACCCGCGATCTTCCACAACGAAATCCAGAAAATGCAGCAAGAAAACGAGCAAGACGCTGCACGAGAACATGGGCACCGGCCCAAAAATCCACAGAAATAGAGGGAACGAGAAGTAAAAAGCCCGAAGGCCCAACGACCAAAAATGGCTAGCCCGGTTCACGGTCCCACACACGTACTCCACCGTCACTCGGTCCTTACAAAAGCCAATATTCTTGTTTTTGCTTTTGTCCATGTTGTTGGGCACGTTTATAAGCATGCTCGCGTGGCTGTAGTATCGTATCGACTGCACGAGCAAAAGGAAAGCCCCGAGAAAACACACTTGTATCGAAAAGAACTTCATGGAGAAACCGAGCCTGTTATTTTTGTCCTCATAGACCGGCCTGTGGGGCCCACTGCTGGCGACACCTGGCGCTCCGCCACCCGACATTAGGACAGCGATGACGGAGCTGAGCATGATGGCCATGGTGGCAAGGAGGGTCGAAGCCATTATGTTGTTTCGGAGGGTTTGCACGGCTAATATCCCGTTTTTTGCCGTGTCCTGCGAAAAAATATATGACATTAATTTGAATATCCACGAAGATTTAATATAAAATATATTCTTAAAATATATGGCTAGTTCTTGNGTGAATGTTGAACTAGTATTTTGCTTTCAAGAAAACCCAACAAACTCATGTAAATCTCAACCAACTCATACATAATTAACAAGAAAAAAAAAAAGGAAACTAAATAGAAAAATAAACAAGGGATTGTAAAAAATCGAGTGACTGCACTGCAATTTTTCCGTTGATATACATACAATTCCAGATGTAACGGTAAATAATCGAGTGACTGCACTGCAATTGTGTGTAGAGGTCTAAATTTTCCGCTTATAATATGAGAAAATTATGATAAAGGGCACTAACTAATTATAATTACCTCCATCATGGCGCGAACCCACAGGCGGCGGCTGGCGGCGTTGATGCCGAGGACGGTGGTGGAGGGGCGCCGGATGATCTGGCGGAGCAGCCATAAGTGATAGGCGACCATCACCGTAAGTCCCACCGGCACCAACACGTAATCCAGAATCTCTTTCTCCATCTCGGGAGACTCAGAATTAATCCCAAAAAAAAATATTGAAATTTTATTTCAGGCACAAAAACTATGTTGCTATAAAATCAAATTTATATTTGAATATGGGAATGGGATGTGACCGCTTTTTGGAGTATTTAATGGCTGAATTTTGAGAAAATAAAATTAAAAATAAAAAAGTAGCAAAAAGGATTGTAATTCTATGGTTCCAAGAAGCTACGTGTGAAATTAGCAAGCAGGGGCGGAGTCAGGATTTATAATTTACCCGGGCTAAAATTATAATAAATATTAAATACAAAATAATGATAAAAAATATTATTTTTTAAGTGTTTTTGCAACAATTATTTTTTTGAAATATATTTGTTTAACATAAATATATAATTTAATCTAAATTTTAGACTGGATTTAAAAAAGTCAATGACACTTCATTATGACAACAAAAAGCCAAAAATTAAACAGAGAAAAAAAAAAACACTTATTAAGAATAAATTTAACTTGTTGAACAATTATTTCTAAAATTTCAAGGAATCATTTTATTTCATCAAGATAAAATCCCTCAAAATTGATATCTATGAGATGGTTATTATTTAAATTTAAAATGGTTCACTAATTTTATTTGATGTGATTATGCCATATATTTTAATTAGTTAGACTAATATAATAAACATTATTCAATTTTGATTTTAATTATATATAATTAAAATTATTTCATATATATATATATATATATATATGGCCCCAGAATATCTACCCGGGCTAAAGCCCAGGTGAAGTTAAACATAGCTCCGCCCCTGTTACCAGGGTTCTTTGTTTATGAAAAAATTCAATTCATGCTCAAAATTTAATTCAATTTTAATTCAACTCTATTATCTTTAATATTATTAACATTAATTAAATAATATTAATCAATCATTCTTACACATCACATCAATTTTAATTTATTATTCACCTACTTACATAATTTTAACTAACTATCACTTCATATCATTTTTATGTTACTTTTACATTAAATCAACTTTAATTATTTTATTTTAAATATTATATTAATATTAAATCAAAATTACACTAACAACTAATCATATCACTTTCTTTTTAAAATTAACTCTAGTTAATTAGAAAAATTTATTTTAAGTGAATATATTTGTATACAAACAACTTTGCTAGTGTATAATTGGTTACGTACATGCTGGCACACGTTTCATACGTAATTAAAATGACTTAGCTTAAAATATTATTATTGACGTAGTTGTTTTAATTATACAACGTCTTAAAACTTTTAAGATTGATACTATATCTTATTTCAAAATTTCGGTTGCTGCTGAAATATTGAGTTGGTGCGTAGAATAAAATAACGGATCTTCGAAATGATAATTTCATAATTAGATAACATTTGTCAAAATACGACTCTCTTTTGTCAAAATAAGATTATAAATAGTATATTTCATAAGTTTTTTCTGTTCAGAGAAAAGTTTGAGTAAGATGACCTTTTAAAAAAAAATAAACGAGTTTATCTTTATATACCGAGAACAATCTAAACTATTATTTTGCCCGATCTTGCTTAAAATTGAAATGAAAATGAAGTCTCCTTTTTCTTGTATTGGCAAGATCGTGAAAGAGCATAACTGCATTAATGTTTGTTAATTCAATAATTGTTTCATTACATTCTTAATCCATTAATTACTTCACTTGTGTACGTAGGATATATGTATTATAGCAAAACTTAACTATAAATCTGTTTTTAATTACCAGAGCCAGTTGCAAGTCATGATGTAATATAGCAAATTACAATCTCATATAAACTTGATAAATATAACACGCTTGAATAGTTTCACAAGGAAATTAAGCAAATGGGGTTAATTGAGACGCGTTTAGATACTTATTATTATTATATTTACAAAAGCTAGCTGCGGGTGGGTGGGTAGAAAACTTGAAATAAGAAATAGATCAAAATTTGAACTTGAATACCCAATAGATAGAGCTCGAGTGATAGAATTTGGCTTTTGACAACTTTGTTTTGACTTTATTTTCCTTTTTTCTTTTTTCCATACATTTTTCTCAGTGGTGTATTTTTTATCTATATATGCTCCAGAACATAATAATGTCATAATCCATCAAACATGCCTTTTTCTTTGATGTTTGTCTTCAAACAATAAACCACTGATCATTATCATTTATCAAACACTAGACTAGAAAAGATATGCAAAATGTTTCCAACTTACAAGCCCTCACAAATCAAACGCTACTCTCCTCACCCTCCCCGCCTAAATTACGATTTTGCCCCTCCTCCCGCGCCCGATCACCTCTTCTGACAGACGAGAACGTGCAGCGCGAGTCCAAAATGAAATCGAGAAAATACAACAAGAAAACCAACAAGACGCAACACGACACCATTGGGATCGGCCCAAATATCCAAAGGAACAATGGGAACGAGAAGTAGAAAGCCCGAAGGCCCAACGACCAAAAATAGCTCCCCCGGTTCACGGTCCCACAAACATACTCAACCGTCACACGATCCTCGAAACCCGGGCCCACCACGCCCTTCCCCCTCCCGATGTCGCTCGGCACATTGATGAGCATGCTCGCGTGGCTATAGTAACGTATGGACTGCACGTGCATGAGGAATGCAATGAGAAAGCACACTTGTATGGAGAAGAACTTAATGGAGAAACCGAGCTTTTTGTTGCTGTTGTTGTTGTTGTTGTCAGAGGTCGAGAGGTGGGGCCCACCACCTCTTGACATGAGAACGGCCATGACAGAGCTTAGCGTGATGGACATGGTCGCCAAGAGGGTCGAAGCCATTATGTTGTTGCGAAGGGTCTGCACGGCTAGCACACCGTTTTTCGCTGTGTCCTAGTACATATTAGTAGGTCTTATGTTAGACGGTTCAATAATAGAGCGTTTGAAAGGCCAAGACAGCGCTGTCCCGGTACACATATTATTAGGTCTGATGTTAGACAGCCTAATCATATATAAAAGGTTTGGATGGTCGGGACACCATTTTTCGTTGTGCCAGGCCAGGTACATATTATCGAGTTATATGTTAGACGGTCTAATCATAGAGGGTCTGAAAGACCAGCACACGCAGTTTTTTGATGTGTCATTGTACACATGCATATTATTAGGTCTTATGTTAGACAACCTAATCATATAGGGTGACGACTTGTTTTTCGCTATGTCGTGGAACATATTGTTAGGTTTTATTTTAGACGACCTAATAAATACTCTTGCATGTGAATGTTTGAAATGTTAGATTTTCAAATACAATATAAATAAAATATCACATTTTATAATATAAATGTTCAATTTTGCATTGTATGTGTAAAACATAATGTTTTTATTTTACATTGTGAAGTAAAAAGATATTATTGATGTTCATTTCAATTTAAACTATTTTGACCAAATATGAGTTTTGAAATGTGAAATTGCCTAATTGGTTATGGGTATAAAAGAATAAGAACAAACAAAGTGGGGATGTCATTTTGGGCATAAAAAATAAGGGTTTTTAGTCCATCCCTTTCATTTATTTGTTGTTTTAATTTTGTTTGCATATATTAAGGAAAAAAATAGTTATTGTAGTGTATTTGCATTATTAAATAGTTAAATTTAGTGAAATGTATTGGATTTTAGTAATTTCCAAACTTTTGACTCTCTAATTAAAACGCCTTTGTTTCCCAAGAAAGTGCTGGACATTTCTTTTGGAAATGTTGACATATAAAAGGTGGCTAATTATCATACTCAGCCGCCTTTACTATTGGGATTAATAAATAAAAGAAAAAGAAAAACAAAAATAAAAAAGAAACAATAAATTGCAAATTAATTAACCCTTATTTACTTGCGACAGAAAAAAATGGGGAACAGCAGCTCAGTAGACAGTAGGATCAAATTTCAAGTCTCATAAACGAAGCACAAGCAAACAAACAATAATTACAATCAGAAATTAAACATACTATCAAATAAATAATTGCTTTTCTTCCATAACTTTAGGCCCAATTTCTTCCATAACTTGACGGAGTAGTACTTTAGTTATAAAGAGATTAAATTGGGCGTACCTCCATCATGGCGCGAACCCAAAGGCGGCGGTTAACGGCGTTGACGCCGAGAACGGTGGTTGATGGACGGCGGATGATCTGCCGGAGAAGCCACAAGTGGTAGACGATCATCACCGCAAGCCCCGCCGGCACCAGCACGTAATCCAGAATCTCTTTCCCCATCTCAAATCAAATCTGACGGCTCAAATTCCACTATATATGAAAATGGAAAAAAGGTTTATTAATGTTGTGTAGATGATTATGCAAATTGAATATGCTCCTTTTTTTATGACTATTAATAATGAGAAGATTAATAAAAAGGATTTTTTTTTTTTTTTGTTTGTGTGTATTGTGTGTGTGTGTTTGTGTGTGAAACTGTGAAAAGGTGAACAAGAATTCAATTATCTCACGGAACTGGCAGCTGGAATTATATGGCATTACACACAAGGTGACATATAATATCTCATTAGATTAAATGAATTAAAACATTTAACAGCATAAATATATATTTTTGTTAGAAAAATTTAAAATGGATCGACCTGTTATGCTGAACCATGCATTTTGTATTTTTAAAATTTTATTAAAAATATAAAACACACTTTCTTAACATTTTAAAAATGGAGAATACACAAATTAAATTTTAACTTATTAATTATCAATTTATCACAGAATGCACCGAAAAAAACTCAAGAAATAATATGAAATATAACATGATGAGAACATGAAAAAAGTCGAAGAATCTTAGTATTAGATGCCAATATAGTGACGCCTCCACACATGACATCGTATTTGATTTCAACGGAAATAGTTGAAACAAACAAGGCCAATATCAACATATAACTGTAGTGGATTTACATTTTTTTTTATCATTAGATTAATATGTATATATAATCATATATTTTGCTGGGTGTGTTAAACTGTTAATTCAACCGTGAAAAAATAGACAAATAAGTAGCTTTTAGTACAAATTGGGATTTTAGAAACATGTGGATTTTTATTTGACTTATATGAATTATTACTGGTGGAATTAATTTTGTAATCGAACATAAATTATTAAAATTCCATTATCACAATGCAATGCATAGAGTCATGCACTTTAATAAAACAATTATATTGCAATAAATTCTAATTAGCTGTAGGTCACTTTTTTTCTTTTTTCTTTTTTGGTTCTCTTTATTTCGTCTCGGTTTTGGGAATTCGAAATAAGAACTGTAGAGGCATTTATGTTGAAGTTTTGCATCCATTTACTTCAACCATTAATGCGTGTATAAAATATTTGATCATTCCTAGGAGATTTTTGTTGTGATTTTCCTCTGAAGCTTTGAGCTTATTGTAACGTGCATTGTGTATACAGTATAGAAGAAAGGTTATTTTTGATCATTTATTATTTTAAAAGTGATTGATTAGCCAGGAAGCTAGGCAGAGGTGTTATGTTAAGAGTCCAGCTGAGCATTTCATTTATTACTCGTGGCTCGATTAATAGACTAGCCAAAGGTTCGAGCTCGACTTATTTAGACTCGTGAAAGCTCGGATAGGCTCGTTTAATAAATTCAAAATTGTAAACGAAATGTTTGTAAATATGATTTGTGCGTTTAGAAATACGCTCGACTCGACTGTTTGTTTGAGACTCATAAAATAAATAAATATATAAATAAATAAATAAATGAGCTGTTTGTAAATGAATTCAGCTCGTTCAATATACCAGATTGAATAATTATTTGTCCAAACTTATGTCAAGCTATTTGTTCGACATCACATAAGTTTGGGCTGGCTATGGGTTTTCTCAGCCTTCTGGGGACGGCCCAATTAACTATTCTAAGCAAAGAGCGATCAATGGGCTCGGCCCATCAACGTATCTGGACAATAACTAACCCCAATCCCTTTCTTCGGTCTTTTCACGACATATCAATAAAATTGCACCGTATTATTTTTTTCTCTCAATTCAATCGAGCTGTGTTCGCGAGGAGAAGCCGTATTGCCTGAAGCTTAAACAGGCAGCAAATATGGAGTCGTTGTAGCGAAGCTCGGTTTGTGACCGGACCGTCAAACCCTTGTAATTTCATATTTTTCTGTCACAATCATTTGTTGAACTGGTTAAGTGTTTTGCCGTCCTTTGTTGAAATTTTCCGTTTTTTTTTTCTCTTCGACATTTTGTCAAACACATTCGAATTGAAAGGGTCTCACCGGCACAAGCTTCCTTGAATCAATCTGTAATCAAGCTGAATGTTTACTTTGTCCGACACATTGGCTGCTTTGAATCGTCCAAGTAAAACATTTTTACTTACGGACTTGTCGATGTGTTTTGGTGTCTGTAGTGCCGATGGAAAGCTGAGCCAGTGGCGGACTTTTTATTTGATTCTGATACGCACGATCATCTTTTCTGAATTTTAGCAGCAGCTGTAAAATGCAATCACTAGCTTGCATTTAAAGGCAAGCTTTACATTTCTGATTCTAACTCTGTTAAAGACTCCATCTATGCCATGCCTACTTATGAATTCATATTTCCTCATCATTTGTAACTCTGCCTGATTAGCTCTTCTCTCTTTGTTAATTCACTGCAGTTTACAAAGAATCATCTAATATGATTCTGTTTTGAGGTTTGTTTTGAGGTCTGATATCATCTCTGATGAGGGGACCCTTCCTTAGACTATCCACCAAGTTACTAAACATATCCATAGCCTCCTTTTGCCGAGCCAAGCACCTTGAAAAAGCCGAATCTGCCCTAATTGACGGCATTAGATTAGGGGTACTTCCCGATACCGTGACCTACAACACACTCATAACCGGATACTGCCAAATTATCGGGTTCGATGCCGGTTATTCCATTATCCACCGCATGAAAGAAGCCGGAATATCCCCAGATGTCGTGACCTACAATTCCTTAATGGCTGGTGCCGCCAAACACGACTTATTACCTCAATGCCTCGACATGTTAGACGAAATGCTCGACTCTGGAATTATTCCCAATGTGTGGAGTTACAACACGTTGATGCACTGCCTTTTCAAACTGGGAAAACCCGACGAGGCCTACCGTGTCTTTCACGATATTCTCATGAAGAATATTACCCCTTGTCAGGCCACATTCAATATTATGATAAACGGGCTTTGTAAAAACGGGTACTCTAGCAATGCCCTCAGGTTATTTCGTAATTTGCAGCGAAAGGGGTATGTTGCCGAGATAGTAACGTATAACATCCTTTTGAATAGTTTGTGTGGTTCGCGAATGTGGAAAGATGCGATGAGGCTTTTCGTGGAGGTTAAGGAATCGGGCTGTAGCCCGAATGCCATTACTTACACGACTGTCATGAAATGCTGTTTTAGGTGCAGAAGGCTTAAGGAAGGAGTTGAGATTTTCATGGAGATGAAGAGAGATGGGTACGTGTACGATTTGTTCTCTTACTGCACGATTGTCGGTGCATTGTTGAAATCGGGGAGAATTCGGGACGCGAGTAAGTGCATTGCGAATATGATTAAGATAGGTTACGAGCTCGATTTAGTGTCTTATAACACGTTAATAAATTGGCGCTGCAAGGAAGGTGAACTGGAGAAGGCGTATAATTTGGTGGGTGTGGCTGAAGAAAGGGGCGAGAATTGTGATGCCTACACGCATACTATTTTGATCGACGGGCTTTGCCAGGCTGGCGAAATAGATGTCGCACGGAGACACTTGGATCATATGAAAATGATGGGGCTCGATTGTTTGGTTGCGTTTAATTGCTTTGTGAATAGTCTCTGTAAAGCAGGTCATTTGGATTATGCTCTGCAGATTTTTGACTCGATGGATGTAAAGGATTCATTTACTTATTCTTCATTGGTTCATAATCTTTGCAAAGCCAGGAGGTACCGTTTGGCTGCGAAGCTCTTGCTCTCTTGCATTAGGGATGGATGTAGGACGCTAAAACCGGACCAAAAGGCTGTTGTTAAGGGTCTCAGTCTCACGAGCTCTAAGTATGACGTGAAGAAGTTTAAGCAGAAAATCCGAATAGCGAAATTGTTGTATCTATAATTTTGGGGTATATACGTTTTTTGGTTGTATGGGTGAAGGCCGAAAGGGATTTTGAGCAATCTCCAGTTTAGCCGTGCAGTTGGTTTTATCCGGAAATGTTGCAAATTACATGGGTCAAATGGCAAATGGCTATTGGCAAGTTGGGAACTCTCGGGGGCTTCGTTCGAGAGGTATATTTATTGCTCACTTTGCATGTGTGTTTTCTAGACGGAAAATTGTGATTATGGTTCATATTTTGGGCCTTAAATCAAATGTGATGTGCTGATACAGATTGTATCCCTGAAATTTTTATGTCTCTCTTCATAGCCAAAATACACGTCAAAACCATTATAGCTGACCCGTCCATTTTAACACCAAGCCAAACCTCGAGGGATCATTTTTGTAACTATCTCAATAAGTTTATTATCAATATGAGTTTTTTTCAATTTGCACGACTCGTTTTCATATTCAACAGGTTCAAATCAAGAAGATGATGATTTTTCAGGCTAACAACTTGTGGCAACAGGCTCTTCAACAAATGCACCGTATACTAACAGCTCGTCAGGCAGCTCATGCCCTCCTTGCAATCAACGACTACTATTTTCGACTCCGGGCCCTACTCTCACTTTTGGCTGGCCCGCCCTCGTGAGTAAGGATGTGCTAATCATTATTCGAGTATTGTTTTTTCTTCGGCCAAATATAGAATATCTTGGGGTTTTGTAGGCCAAAAGAAAATCTTGCTGCTGCCATGGAAGTTTAGTAGTAGCAATTCAACCTGAGACGAGGAATCAATCAAACTGAGCAAGTAGTAAATAAACCTTGTTGTGTAATTTACCATAGATTTCAAGTTGTAACAGATTTTCCTAGTCTAGTCAGTGTCAGTGTGAGGCCCTGGATTTATGGGATGCAGCATAATGTAATTTTATTTTTCTTTTCAATCACAAGGGCCAATAAAAAGATGAAAATGACCCCTTCATTTAGACTAACTTAGGGGTTGCTTTCCCTCTCCAAAATATCACCTAATATCATTACTCATACCATAATAAAACGTCCAATTTTTTGACTTCACGATTAGGTTCCTTATATAATACCGGTTTTTCTATGGAGTCACTTAGATTGTTTTTTATGGAGCTATCCGCCTACGTAGCTTCTACGGATTAGGTTCCATAGAAAAAAAAAGGAATGAATTCACGTAACAATCGAGTGGCTCCATAGAAAAACAATCCATATGAACCAAATAGGCGGATGACTCCATAAGAAAAACAATCGAATGGCTTCATGGAAAAAATGCCGACTTAGAAATTCTATAGAGTCATCGGATGAGTTTTTTATGAAGTCATCTATCACTTAATGTATTGACACATGTCCAAAGTGTATTTATTGTAGAACACGTGTTAATATACAATTTGTGAATAAGTGTGTGAATAAGTGTGAATGACTCTATAAATGGTGTCATCTAATGGCTCCATAGCAAAATTGTTCACGGTCAATTCCAAAAAACAAGTTGGCATTTAGGTCATTAGGCGCGTCATCCAACTAGGCGTCATCAAATATGGTTTTCTTAGATTTTTTTTTTTATTTTTTTTTATTTTTTTCCTGGACAGATATAAAGCTATTAGTGAATGAATAAATAGTAAAATTTATAAAGAAAAATGTGTAGCAATATTATTATTTATTAAATTATATTATTTTCACTGTTAGAAGTCTTATCAAAGCTTAACTTCACCGTCGGCCTCCAAAAATTGTAAAACCCCATGCGACATAATAAGAGTTTTATTAAATATATCGTTTAATTCATATTAAAAGTTTTACTCAATTTTAATTTAATTACACTATCCTTAATATTATTAATATAATAAAATAATTCAGATCAATCATTGTTTATCCACTCATATAATTTTAAGTAACTATCTGTCTCCTATTTGTCATCAAATCAATTTAGATATTTTATTTTATATACTATTTTAATATAAATTTAAAATTAACTACAATTAATCATATTATATTTTTTAAAAATAATTATAATTAACTAAAAAAATTCATTTGAGCAGATTTATTTGTAAACAATTATGCCCTAACTTTTTCGAAGTGTAAAGCATAAGCAACAAAATGGAAACTTTTAGCTATACATACTTTAAATAACTGAATATGTAAAAAGTCTTTGAATAGTCTAATTCTAATGTGTGTCGAAAATCAAATAAAAGTAGTTGACTAATGAATATATTGTTTCATTAACACGATAATCAAAATTGTTGACTTGATAATAATCGGCTTATATTTCTTTCATTTATCACCACAAAATGTTTCCAAAATATCTACAATGAGACAGAAATTCATTTCTCCATACAAGTTAAAACCATTTTGTACTAAATTTTCTTTTTTATTTTGTTTGTTAGAAAAAAAAAAATAAAAAAAAAAAGAAGCAAGAATGGTACTCAATGCTTAAAAAATTAATCGTTTTTTTTTATAAAACCATTAAAAGCGAATGATAGATTTCAAAAAATCATATCCCTTCCTATATATAAATTGAGTTTCGTGCATATGTATCAACTTTTTGTGTTTCTAATCTTACGTGTTGAAATATGATGTTTCATAATTGTATGTTTCAGTTTTTAGTACTTTGGATAAACTTGGACTTTTATCCATATCTATTAGAAATTTTAAATTTATAAAATAATTTACCAACTTGCAGCACTTAATAATTTTGTTTCTATTTCATTAAAAATGTTCCCAAAATATCTACTATCCGACGTGCCCAAAATTATTATCGGTTCAATCTCTAATATCTACCACATTATTGAAATATTGTATAAAACCGTATATATAATTTTTAATAAGTAAAAAATGAAAAATTAAATATCTTTGGTTACTAAAGTCTCAAAATTTCAATAAAATAAAAACAAGATTCTCAGTTTTGAATTCTATTTTTTTATATCCATGATTAGTTTCTCTTTTATTTAATGTATTTTTTTATATTTTATTTTTTATTATTCTTTGATACAATTTAATTCTGATATTTTAGGTGCATCCGTACAGTAGGATATTTTAAACATGGAACCACTTTTCTGGTATTCTGTCTATATAACTCGCAGCGGCCAGAAACCCAAGCCAGTCTCGCCGGCGGCCTTGCTTCAACCCTCCGGCGACGGCCACCGGTAGGTTTTTTATCCTTCTTTTAGCCTTATACATACGCTTCATTAATTGCCGACCTAATTCCACGATTCATTTCGTGATAATCCTTGATTTAGGTTAAAACATCCTGTTTCGCATTTTCAGATTCGAGCTGAAATGTATATATCATAATTTATATTTCTTCGTGATGTGAAAAGTGGGATAAAACTTCATTTTTCGCATTTTCAGATTCGAGCTGAAATGTATTTCATAATTTATTTTTCTTAGTGATGTGAAAAGTACATGTACAGTATTTTGCTCTTTACACTTTTGTTGATTATAATATTCATTCGCCGACAGTCTTAGCTGGTTTTTGAATATCAAACTACTTTTTTCTTGTGTTTTTTTTCCCTGTATATTATTGATCTGGGTTCCTAATATATCTCTACGAAAATTGGTGATGACTGATGAAATTTCTTTCTAATTGAAAACTGTTTTTTTATTTTTTATTTTAAATTCAGATCTCAAATGATGACCTGGGTTTTTGCTTGATCAGCGAGTCTTGAGACCCATGATGCTGAATTTCAAATATATGCTGAAATTGACTTTGATCCCCTCTATTTTTAGTATCTTTTTTCTTTCTTATGAATCCTTAAAATGTGCAAATTGTTCTGCAGCTCAGTTGGGTGTCTTAATTCATTTCAATTCATTTGGTGTTTGAAATAATTTGTTCTGCAGCTCAGTTGGGACTCTGAATTCATTTCATATTTGAAATAATTTGTTCTGCAACTCAGTAATTTATCTAACTCTAATTCTTTCCAGCTTCATTAATCATTACAGACGATGATGATCGGTTACGAAGACAATCTATTAACCGAGATCTTCATATGGCTGCCTCCAAAATCGCTCATCAGATTCAAACTAGTCTGCAAACAATGGCTTTCTTTGATATCCAGTGACTATTTCTCTCGAAAGCACACTCTAAACAATATCCATCGTTCAAGAACAACCGATCCTTCTATCCTCCTCCGCCTTGAATCGAATTACTTTTACCTTCACGAAAAAAAATTAACCCCGTACCAATTTTCTCTATCTCTAGTCGAGCCAACTGTCTCGGGCTTTTCCAACGGCCTTTTTTTGCTCCAATGTTCGAAAACCATAAAGTATCCTCTTGACGAATGCTTTATCTACAATCCCACCACAAAAAAATCCCGAAAAATTGAACTCAACGATAACAACAGATACAAATCTGTGATCGGGCTCAATCTTGTGGCCGATCCTCACAATCCGTCTGATTACAAGATTGTATGTGTTAGATGTACGAGAAGACGATCATCTAGCTCATGGTGGCGTTGGTGGCGATTTTGCCAGGTGGAGGTTTATGATTCGTTAGATTTTTCTTGGAAGGCGTGCGGTGAGCCTTTCTGGGCTCCGATGGATGTGGATTTTAATCGAGGGGTATATTTATACGGTTGTGTTCATTGGCATGGATTGTTCTTTTATCTCGACGGAGGTTTTTTGGGGGACCACCCGAATATCGAACTCCCGAATGATAATAACGGAGTCGAGAAATTCGAGAGGAGTTATTTAGAATCGTGCGGGTATCTTCATTGTGTGGTACATTTTGTTAATAGTAATAATAATAGTGTGATTGTGTTCGAATTGGAAAGTGATTTTTCCGGGTGGTTGTTGAAGTATAGTGTTGATCTTGGTGGAATTCCGAGTCGAGTTACTGTGCTCGGTTTCGTTAGGGGGGAGAATGAAGAAGAGGATTGTTCGTTGGTTTTTCACGAGCCGGGTAAAGTTGTGGCTTTCGGGCCTCGGGCGAAGAGTAGAAACGAGCTCGTTGATTTTAGGGACGAGGTGTTTTATGAGGAGGGTTGTTTGCAGTTTGTTTCGAACTTCAGTTTTCAGTTCACTGGGACTCTGGCTCCTGTTTGATGGATGTGAAAAGCAGCTCTTTTGGGGTATTTGTGTATTTATTTATACTTCCGTTNTGAATAATGTTGCTAAGTTATATATGGTTATGGTGATTGGTGTAGTTTTATTGAGCCTGCTAAAATGATCTTTTGTTGCTGTGTGTGTCAGTGTTTGTAATTGTGGCAGGTGATTTTGATGTTGTTTGTGCTGTGGTTCTGTTGATTAAAACTTTTTGGAGTGTATTTTTCAAAATGGACCAATTTTATGCAGGAAAATTCAGTTCTTTTCGCTATGCTTGGGAAAAAAAATATCTAAATTTATGTTCAACCTTAAAGGTTGTTTTTCTAATTTTTTTGGGTTTTAATGCCTGATAAGATGCATCAATCTATTAATACATAAGGATTTTATATTAAAAGAAAATATATTTTCATTTTCATTCTATAATATAATGGGAATAATTTTATGTGTTGTTATATGTGAAATTGCAGAATATTTGTCATATACTCCCTCCTATTCAAATTAGATGTCGTTTTGACTTTTTTGATTCATCCATTTTGCTACGTATCTAGACATTAATATGTCTAGATACGTAGCAAAATGGATGAATCAAAAAAGTCAAAACGACATCTAATTTGAATAGGAGGGAGTATATTTTATATTTTATGGAAGATAGGCAGTGATTCCAGAATAACATAGAACGGAACTATTTAAACATATGTATCATTGTATCACTATCAAGAATAATATTAAAAAATTTGTAGGTTTTTGGACTCGTTTTTTAGTAGCGGATTGATGTTAAATTAGCATACATTAGATTTCATTTGATGGTTGACCAATCAAATTCGCTATTCGAGCTATTCGACTCGTTTGGCAATGAACTCATTTAATTAGTTTTTTGGAATCAAAATAATAATTCTTAAAAGCCCAAAAGACAACATTTGGGAAGTCATGATCCGAAAGAATGACACTACAACTTAACAATTATAAAATTTTCATTTTTTACCGAACGCTTATTTGACAAACTTTAATTATATGTTCAACTCAGCTAAAATGGTTCGCTATCTGCTATCTGTTCATACAATTAACTATCAGGCATTCGCTATCAGCTAAGTGGCAACCAATGTAAACTACATGTGTTTTAATGCGTGTTTATAATATTTTGGATATTTTATTTATGTGAGTGTAATATTTTAGACAGACAAATTTGATGAAATTTTACACAACTCAGTTTTCATATAGCTTAAAACACTTCATTAGGATGTAACATTTTTATATAGATATTTTTTTACGTGTTTTTACAAAAGTTTAGAAATAGTTGGCACTCTAATATTTTAGATAGACTGATTTTTATATACTTTACACTAAGTTAATTTTCATACAGCTTTAGTGGTCTATTGCTAATGTATTCTAAACTCTGCATATATAATCCCACATTTAATTTATAAACATAATTTAAATATTTCTAATTTCACATTTAAGTTATATTTTAAATTATATTATTTATCCTTGCAGCTTTCAAATTCTACGTAGCAATGTCGTCATTGATGATTACCCATATTCACAGGCCGTGGATTTTGGAAGATTTTAGATTGCTCTTTTGTCAACGTTTCCCACATTTTTTTTTTATTTATTTTTTATATTTTGGCTTATTCAAAACCTACTCATTAGATACACTGATTCCATGCATATCAAATGGTCACGAGTGATAATAATTGATAACAAATCAAAACATATCCCGCAAGATCTTTGAATTTTGAACAACGTTAATTATTTTTATAATCATACATGAATTATGAATATTCCATATAAATCCTCCACCATTTCTCAAATTCCCCTGAAACCTTAAACCCATTGTTACTCTGAAGATGGTAATTATATCTTGCAATGACCATATATTGTTCGAGATTTTCTCATGGCTCCCGCCAAAATCCCTCATCAAATTCAAACTACTCTCCAAACACTGGTTCTCCTTGTTATCTAGTGACTATTTCCATCAAAAACACATTCTAAACGAAGGCCGCCGTTCGAAAACCGAACCCTGCAGTCTCCTCCTCCGCCTTTTGGGAAAACCCGACTATTTTTACCTTCACCTCGACGCGAGTCTCGAAAAGAGTAGTTTAGTGCCGTATCGATTTTCTCCATTTCTACTCGAGCCGATTGTGTCGAGCTTTGCCAACGGCCTTTTCTTGCTCCATTGTGCCGAAATCAAGAACGATCACATTCAAGAATGCTTTGTTTACAACCCCACAACTAAACAATCCCGAAGCATTTCCCTCAAAGCCGACGAGGATTCTTACAAGCCCGTGATTGGGCTCAATTTAGCTTTCAACCCACTAAATTCGGCCCATTACAAGATTATATGCGTTAGGCTCGTCAGATGGGCGCCTTCCTGTTCCATGGGTTCTTTGTGGCGTCTTTGCCGAGTGGAGGTTTACGAGTCGAACGACTGTTCTTGGAAGATTTGTGACGAGCCATTTTGGGCACCGACTGATATGGATTTCAATCGAGGGGTGTACGTAAACGGTTGCATTCATTGGCAAGAGATGTTTTTCCACATTGATGGTGGTTTTGTGGGGAAGCATCCAGAAATCGAAGTCCCTAGTGGCATCGGGACACAGTTTTTCAATCGCGAGTATGTTGAATCTTGTGGCTATCTTCATTGTGTCGCGCATTTTCTTTGCAAAAATGAGGTAATGGTGTTTGAATTGGCGAGGGACTTTACGAAGTGGTCGTTGAAGTGTAGTTTTGAGCTCGGTGGAGTTTCGGGGCAACTCTCTGTGTTAGGAGTGGTAAATGGTGTGTTGGTGTTTCATGAGCCGGGGAAAATTGTTGTGGCGTGCGGATTTCGAGGAGAGGTTAAGAAAGTGCTCGTCGATTTTAGGGACGAGGAGATTTACGAGGAGGGTCGAGTTCAGTTTGTTTCGAACGATGCGGTTGAATTTGTCGAGAGTCTAGCTCGTGTTTGATGGTTATGGTTTTTAGGGCCTATTGGTGGCTAAGTTATGTTATATTGGTGTGTATTTTGCAGTGTTGAAGACTTTGACTTTGTAATTTGTATTGATCAAGTTTGTATCTCAAGTTTGTTGTTTGCCATCAACATTGATATTATTATTATCTTGTTTCATAACTCAGCTAAAACAATTATGCTCAAGTATTAATGACAATAATTTGTTCTGTTCAAATTTAGACTTTGTCACACTTCAAGGCGGCATTTCTGCAGATCTTGATAGTGATACTACCTGAGATTAGATAATTTGGAGAATAGAAGGTTGTTTTCTTGTGACTATCGACTTTCTTTCTTTTNTAATGAACGAACCGTAAGAGGCCCAAGAAAGTGGCGTCCCGGCGTCCACAATACGATATTATTAAGCCCAAAGAGTGCGTAAATCCAAAATATCTACTCAACTCTTTTATCGGAATGGTCCAATTAGAAGGCTGACAAAGTTCGACCGATTGGCAGCAGAAAGTCAGAATGTAACATTTAAAAAGTCAACGATTCCACTTACTATTTACTAACGGGTAGAGTTGTTAGACGAAAATATGACACGAAAAATGTGATGTTTCTTATGTTTTTTGGCATAACTCAATTTATTAAGGTTTGAGCTTGTTAAGGGTTAAACTTGTTTAGTTAAATAGAAAGTGAGAGTGACTTGAGGTCAAATGGCAGAAGCTCAAACTGAATCGAATCATTTACATACAAAACATGTGAAGTAATTACAATGCATATGATACTCCAACTAACAATTTTTTTTTAATAATAATAATAACTAGTACAACACCCATGTATTACATATATGGGTGCCGACGGTGCCTCATCCCGGACCGTTCATGGACGGGTTCTCAAAAGTGGGATGGGTATCCGGACAAGTCAAATCCAGGACCGTCCCGGCCGGCGCCCACCCTTACCATAAATAATCAACATATTATAAATAATCCGAACCTAAATATATTTGGATTAGAAGTAAACTAAATCTATCCAAGCCTAATAACGAAGCATGTATATTTGCCACACAGGATCCCGAAACATGCGAGCCTGCCACATAGGCTCAGCACGTTCTCAATTAATATATAGGGGGATTTACGTAAGGGCACAAGACATAAGAGTGTTTTTTAGTACCCCGTTAGAATAAAAAATTTGAAGTTTGTATGATTGTATCCGAAAATGCATCTGATTCTTTGAACTTTACGAGAAGAGTCTTCTAATCCATGTCCATATTTTGGTTATTTTCGTTGGAACTTGGATGTAAGAGTTTGGACTCAGATAATTTTAATATATTTGCTCTCTATTTGACTGACATGACACAGACTTTAAGTTTAAGCTAAAGTAAGAAAGCAATTCCATAATCTTCATTAATAAGCAATTGAAATTGAACTTGTGAAGCCCGTGTGCCAATTTATGTTCAAAAGTTGTCCATAGTATGAAGATATTCTTGTCTCATTTGGTAAGTTGTTTTCTCCAAAATTAATAAAAAAGAAAAGGTGTACATCAGCATAAATGAAAAATGCTATAGGTACATAACATACACATATATGTACATAACACTCACATGGAGTGAGTCCTACCAAAAATAAAAAATCAAGTAGACCCCACTCCATGTGAGTGTTATGTACATTTATTTTGTACTTGTAATATTGTTCCAGCATAAATATAGAAAAGTTGTCTATTAGTATTTATTATAAACTAGTATGTAGCCCTTGCGATCCACGGGACAGAAGTATTAAATGAGTCATTTCTATAGAACTTGTCCGTTAAGTAGCTCGTGTGATTCACGGGAGATATTAAATGAGTGGACCATATGACTTGTCCGTTCAGGCTTAAAAAATAATAGAGTTTGATCATCTATCTTTTTACATCTTTTCATCAACGTTATTTTTTTGTCGGAACATTAAACCTGAGTCTGGTAGCGCTAGCCTGTAAATTAATTAATATATTATCTCGCTCACATATTTATAATAATATAAATTTGATTTCATTATATATATTTATTCCTTGATATAAGAAAAATAACAATTTTACGCATCTTGTTCCTCGTATAATATTCATATTATTTTATTATTAAATTTCGTGTAATATAATGTCATTATTATTATTTATACAAGTTTGTAGCCTTCTTCTTCTTTTTGTTTTATGTAATTAAGATATTTAATGTATGTTCATATTATTTATTAATATAATTAATTTAAATTATGTAAATAAAGTTAAAGTAAAACATTTTATACAAATATTTTTTTAGAATTTAATTATTTTATAATAAATAAACATCTTTGAAATTCAATGCAATTATTAAACATCCTTGATATAAATTCAAAATCATAATTGAATTCTATGCAATTATTAATTCCGTCCGATGTAATGGGAAACAAATCAT